TTTTTTAATCACATCACTGACTATATATATATATATATATATATATATATATATATATATATATATATATATATATATATATATATATATATATTATATATTTTACTGAATACATTCTAACTAACGTCGATTGAACGAAAATTGTTTCATGCAAACATGCAATAAGTGTTGGATACCAAGGTGCATGAAATTCTTTGTTATGTTATCGACGTCCATCTTGTATATTCACTAATATATATATAACTCTATTATATAACATTGGCATTGTATTTAGAACACCTGAGGAAGTTCCTGTTATATATATGCGCAACCTTTTTATATTTTATTTTTATATATTATATATATATATATAATTTTTGATTTATTAAAATAAAATACGTTTGGCACAGGACGAACCTTGGATTTTTTAAAAGAAAAATGCATAAAATGAGGTAGGTAAGCCTATTGAATGAAATAAAATGTTCAACTAAAAAATTTAAATGAAAGTAAAAGAAAAATTATGACGGTACTTCACAAAAATGAGAATGTTCGCTGTATTATGGCGTCAGCCAGAATCAAGCTTACTCGCTAACAGAGGGAGGAAAATATGGGAATGGGAATATGTAAAGACTGGTCAATCTACATAAAGACCAGAGGTTAAGAGAAATTTGGGACCATTTCAGTTTATATATATATATATATATATAGTCATCCACAGACAGCCTGACTTTCACAGCTCATCAATGTGACCAGACATCCGATTGATTTGAGACTCTTACCCTAGGCTGTTGACACACGGCAAAAAAATATTTTTAAACATTAATGAGTATATAAACGCCATATTTTCCGCTATGAACTTAATTTTGCGAAAAAATGCATTAAAGCAATATATTTTTACGAAAAAATTCCCTTTTCTCCATAGTGTTCAATCGGCGAAAGAAAACATATATATATATATATATAAATATATATATATATATATATATATAAAGACAAAATTAAAATTTATCTTAGGTTGACGGGACTTAAACCAAATCAAACCAAACCTATATTCGTTCCTATTTTTGTTTTTTACATGCGGACAAACACATTAGCTCCATACCGTCACACATGATTCCACACTACATCCACGCACATACACAGTATCAAACATATATATATAACTAGCAGCATGGCCCGGCGTTACCCGTGCTTGTTTCAAAAAATCGTACGACTCATACAGCAATCGGTATCACTTGACTTAAAATATTTTTTTGCCCTTCCTAGCCTTTAAAGGTGCCCTTTCCCGTGTTGATGTTTACATGCCTTACTTCTTGCCTATCTTACACTGCAATTTTTTTTCTAAGCTCTATACTAAACATAAAAATCTGTTACGAAAAAGAACTAAACAAAATGAACACAAAACGATCAGCTTTAAAAAAGACTCGTAACTTGAAAAAAGAATGAAAACTTTTTCAACCCCACTTCTGCGGAATCAGAATCAACGTTGAGTTGAAGCAAGCGAATGAGCCAATTGGAGTAAAAGTGCCATACAGATTTAATTTTTTCCCACTGTGACGAATGCAGCTATCGATTTTTTTGCATACTAGCATGCTGGTTAACATTCGTGTGAGTCATCTGTTGGCTCAAAAAAAATCTACCTGACTATTCGTGACAGCCAGCTTTATATAGTTATAGCAAACTACATGAAAACTGCCGTGAAGCCTGAAAAAATCGATTATTTCCACTATCGATGGGGTTGGGAATGCAAGTCGGTCTTGGCCTTTCCACTAACTTGGAGCATGTGCATGTAAGTTTGGTGCAAATCCGTCGAATATTGCGGACGTACATTCGTTACACACACACACACACACACACACACACACACACACACACACACACACACACACACACTAGGTATGATATACCCACAAGTCTATTTTTAATTCTCAATTTATGCTCCCAACCTTTGTTTTTTCGGAAAAAGGTAATATATTTTTTGAAATTTTCTTAAAATTATTTATTTACCACTAACTTACCATCAGACGAAAAGTAAAGTCAAATTATTGAAACATAAGCTTTTGTGTAAAATTTCAACATATTTTTAATATAATCTCTTACATTAAAAATAATAATCATTACATATATATATATATATATATATATATATATATATATATATATATATATATATATATATATGGGTGTATGTCTGTGTGTGTAAATGCAAAAATGATTACCGGAATCAATAGCCTTGCATATTCTCCTTCTGATACAATATCTGGAATATCGGTCAAATTAAATAAAAGAGAATATATTATTTTCCAGTTTTGACTTTCTTTAACCAAAGGTGGTAATATTTTCCGTATATGTCCAACAAAATCTTTCCGGTATATTTTACTTGTATAACATCTTAGATAGGTCGCCAGCAGAGACAACGATTTGTAATTAAGAAAAAAAAATCCAAAAACACTGCTGTAGCCGTCTGAGTTAAACATATTTTTTAACAGCTTGTTTCGTCTTTGAAGATATTAAGCATAAAATTTCCATTGTTTGTACATAATCTTATATAGCGTATTTAGATGTTCATGGTGCTGGAGTTTATCATAGAGTCTACATAATATTCTGTTTTTTTTTCTGTATTCTTTATATAATATATTCATGTTGTCTACAAGTATAATTCTAATATTAATAGAAATCTGAAATCTTTATGAGTTATTTTGAATAAAAGAACAGTTGAAATGACTAGATGTAGCCGTAATTTTTATGTTAACAGTTTCTTCTAACGCACTTCTTGCTTGTGGAACTCTTTCCCATTTTCCTGTTTCCCAGTCAACTTTGATCTTCAAAGATTTAAATGCAATGCCAATCATTATCTTCTGTCTTCTTAATTTTTTTGTCTACTTATTTTCAGTAGGATCCTCTCATATTCACGGACAAATTTCTTACTGTCCTTATTAAAGGAAAATTAAGATGCTGATAAATATTCATTTATTCCGAGTACTTTCGACATTAGCACAATGTCATCATCATGGTGTTATTTTTAAGAAAAAATTGTTGGGTTCATCGAATTTTTTAACTGTGAAATGAAACGCTAACATAGTGAGATATGTTTTGCAATGTCCATATGTTTTTTTTTTTTTTACTTGTTTTTTAATCTATTAGTTTAAACCCAGATATTTTAAACTATCTACTGTAAACATTTTGAAACATTTGTGCAGTATTCATAGTTAATTTTATTAAGGGTTGGTTTCAGATTTTTAATGTAGATAGATTTTATTAAGAATTTTTAGTTTATGTTTATTACTTCCATGAAAAAGTATAGATATATTTTCGACAATAATTTTTCTAAATTGCGAATGTCGGCAGACATGCTGTTGTAAATGTTGTGATATGTTTGGTGTATCATTTAAATGAAAACTCAACCGCCCAGACAACGTGGTTGTAGTATGACCCACATATATATTATTTTTTTCTGTTGGAGATACAATCTTCCAATGGACATTTAAATTCATATACAATGTTGGTTTTCTTCAAAAAGTCAGTTAGTGGTGAGGAGTTATTACGAATGAGTAAATTGACATATTGAATTTAGTACATTATATAATTAATTTAATTGTTTTTCACTAGGAGCTGTGGTGGATATATTAGTATTTATTATATGTACATAATATGTATTTATATATGTATATAACGATGCAAAATTGATTAAGAAATAATGAAAGATCATTAGATATTTGTAATTTATTTTTTTCTATAGCTTGAACTATCTTCATGGTTTAAATAGATGTACAAATTGTTTGGAATATTGAAAATTTTAGAACATCTGTCTATGAAAAAACAATTGGCTTAAATCCATTTTTACACAACTGCAACACTAAATGCCCACACAGATAAAAAAATAGCCATCATTAATCATTTAGTAGAGAACATTTAATATCCTCTACACGCACAATATTTCATAACGAAGTAAAAAAATTAAAAACAAATATTAATTAGAGGTTAATTAAAGATTATAATCTCCCTAGCCCCATAATTGATGAACGAATTAAATTAACCTTATAAAGAACACAATAATACCAATAATAATAATCTAAGACTATTCTACAGTAAGGAAATATACATTAAACGACCAGGTAAACGAAAAATTATAAGAAAATAAATAGAAGATAAAGACAAAATAAAATAGGTTAAACTCCCGACTGATTTCAAAAAAATCAAAAATAAATAAATAAATAAATCAAACATAATCACCGCAAAATTTGCAACAGTAACAACAACAAAATAAAAAGAAAACTTAATCAAACAAAAACTTGTCTATGAATTACCCACTTGGAGAATGTCTCTCTAATAATAATAATAATAATAACAATAATAAACAAAATAAAATATACATTGGGTATACAACCACTGCATTATAGCGCCGATTAAATTGGCAGTGATCTGATAATTGTTCTAATTAATCGCATATCACCAACCAACACAACACAAAACACAACAATAAATCTGATAAAACCTTACAAAAACATAAAAAATATAATATATATTAAGAAGAGAAACCATTATATATATATATATATATATATATATATATATATATATATATATATATATATATAATGAACTGGATTAAATCATAAAAAAAACAGGCTTTTTTAAGAGAATGTTTTGTATCAATAGACAAAATAGTAAAAAATCAGATTAAAATCATAATTAACTAAACGTCCATTGGTTATTGCAATAAATGCGTCACGTGGCTTCAATTAGGTCGGGACAAAGCTGGTCTTGTGATTTCTCTTTAAAGCTAGCTTTTTACAATCACTGATTGCGCTTCTCATTCATATTACAGGCTCTGTCAGAACCAGACGTTCTCTATGATGCCACAACACAAAATTTACGATAAAAATCAAAATGGATATCACATCGCACTCGAAGGGGAAAGAATGGCATAATCAAGATGCTGTATTTTAAAACTGTCTTAAACAAAAGGCTAGGAAGAAAACCCCTATCAGAACTAGCAAGAGCTATAACTTTAAGGGGGCTTACAGCCATATCATGTTGAAACACCGGTTCACGTATGATCACTAAAGTTAAGCAACGTCGAGCCTGGTCAGTATCTAGATGGGAGATCACTTATGAATGCCAGATACTATAAGCTTGGATGTGCGGGTGGTGTAATAGATAACGGCTCGGAAATCGGAGAGCCGAGTTCCAATTCTAGTTGGGTTCGTTATATACGCGAAAATACCTTTGGGATAGGTATAAATCCTTTTTTGCGATCCAAAGTTAATTAAGCCTTGCATCAATAAAAATCATTATTATTACCTCCCAACCCCCAAATATTCCAATATAAATATATTTTCTGGCTTTAAATAACTTGAAAAAAGATTGATAACCCGTAAAAAACAAATCAGCCATAATTTTTAGTGGAATTTTGCATTCTATCTTACTGAAAAAAAATAGATAGATTTTATAAATCTCAAGTGTTTGTAACTCTAAATGGTCGACCAATGAATGCCTAATGTTTCCTGTATGGAAACGATTAATCCCACCACAAATATTGCCAAATTTACAATGATAAAAATGTATTTACAAGAAATAAAGATTCCCATCTTTAGAAACTATGAACAATCTTAATCGTAACAGAAATAACATTTAACCTCATCTCACCACCCACACAACGCCAGGTAGGTCTTAAAACCTGTCAGTCCAGATGCACCTCTACATATCGAGGTCTTCTGTTCGCATAAATCCAAGATTAAATCTATCGCTGACTTACCAGCCCTGTCATGTATCTCACAGCACCTTGTATTCCCTAACTGTCACCCATTTGTGTACTGACTAAGCTCAGCGTTGCTTAACGGGAACCGGTGTCATATGACCGTCTGTAAAACATTTAATAACCAAAAGCAAATGCAAGAATTAAACAGTAATATAACATCACCATCCCAAAACACGTCCCACACCTACACGAGAATCTTGGGTGGTGGTGGAATTATATTAAAGAATAAAAAAAAGTCATAAATATAAATAGGCCTGTAGGCTTGCATCCGCTAGCTAAGTTAACATTTATAGTATAACTAAAAATAAGAAAACTTAAACTACACGGACTGGATTGACATTTGCTCAGCTCGCAGGCCCCAAATACTCTCGCCTAGCCGACATGCAAATGCCACTTCAAGTCAGATCCCATTGTTGAAAAGATAAATCCGTTCTATTTGTAAGTCGCCACGCGCACAATTCCATTGTCAATCGTGGCTATTGGCGTCATTGTAGGGATTTGTATTCCTATTTGGATATTTTTTTTGCTTAATAGTCGACACGGGTCTGAAAATCCAACTATATTTAGTATCTACTGTAAATAAAAATCACATTTGTTAAACCTTTCCTAGTTAGACAATGCTTGAGATAAACGGCCGCACCTAATATTTCCTTTCTGTATATATAACGATATTGAAATGAAGGAAGATTTATGAACTTAAAATACTTATTACCAGTGACTTTTTCAGCTAGTGGCACCGATGTACACAGTATCGGGTTCGTCCGTTCTCTCTCTCTCTCTCTCTCTCTCTCTATATATATATATATATATATATATATATATATATATATATATATATATATATATATATATATATATATATATATATATATATATATATATATATATATATATATATATATATATATGATGAATTTACTAATTTGAAAATATGGACCGATCGCTACACAGGAATTACCAGGTTTCTAAAACAGAAACTAAAACTTTAAATTTAATTATAAAATTAAATTAAAATCCCTATTTCATTCTCAACCGATTTTTGAAATTTTGGATTCCAAAAACCGCTTGAGAATGAAACAGAACTAGGTGGATCCTAGTAATAAAAATACTAAAACTAATCCACAAGCAGAGATGAATGTATTTATTATTACAGAGCAAATAATATAAATTATCTAGATATGACTTATTTTTAATTTATTTAAATATATCTTATTTTTAAGTATCACTTGTCTTTGGAAGAGTATTTTTAAGAAGTATTTTGTATTTTTAAACTTAATCTTATCTATATAATTTAAGGTTATTTAAAAAAAAAAAAAAACCTTTTTCTTCCTCTCTTAGTTTCAAATTTATATTTAATTCTTCATATAACCCGAAATTAATGTCATAAGTTTATTATCAGGGTTTCATTTTATAAAACCTCTTCCCTTTAAGACTAATACCTTTCACCTTCCCCTCCCCACTGACTTGTGTCTTTCGTCTGACTGAAACATTGAAATGGATAAATTCTTTTTTCTTTTTTCCTTAGTAATTTTATAATTTTGAACTTAACACAGATTAAATTTAGATTTTAAAATGGGTAGTTTTTAATTTTAATTTCAAATTTTATCGTATAATTTAATATTTATTAGTTAGAATAAATTCTATTTTAATATAACCCCAACTTTAAAGCATTTAATACTTATTATAAACTTACTTCGTTGTCAAATTTTTTGAATTCCCGTATACTTGTATTTTGATTGGTCATTTCAGCTCATCTAACAGCGTTTCCCCTTACGAGGAGTGGTTAATTAATTTCAACCTTTGAAAACCTTTATTCTACAATCTACATTCAACATCATTACTTGATAAGACACCAGAGGTGTTTAAACAAAATGGCTATTTTTGTAGTGATTTTATAACATATTTATGTTATAAATTTTAAATAAACAATTATATATATATATATATATATATATATATATATATATATATATATATATATATATATATATATGATTTGCTGAATCTGTTAATTTCCGTAATATTAACTTAACTATTTACTTAGATTATTTATTCAGATTTTTATTTTATATAATTTTTTCGGGTTTTCATCACTTGTTTAGTTTAAATTATTGGCTTTGCTTAAAGCATGTTACATTTCCTGCGTTGTATATAGCGAATATATTCACCTTACTACCCATAATGCAACATTGACTAGCATGTATAATTAGGCAAGACAAAATACAAAACAATGTCCTGAAGATTGCGTTCAAACTTCAATCATCGCATGGTGTTGACATCAGTATCCACTTCCATATATATATATATATATATATATATGTAAAGTCATTTCACCCCAAGCAAGGCGACAATGCCACTAGACCGCAGGCGATTACAGGTTGTTAAAGTGAAAGAGAAGAATGGAAATTGAGGGAGGTTTGAGAAAAGACAAAAACGAAGAGGGTTGAAGAAGACAGAAAAATGGCGATTGGCATTGAATTTAAATTTTAGAGGATTGTAGCAATGAATCGGAAGGGAATTACTCTGGTGGGAAGTGCGAAAAATCTGTTAAAGTCGAAACGATGGTTGAATCAAGCTGGTACAACAGTAAATGGTGAGCTCTCAGCCAGTCTAGTAGAATTCATGTAGTCGGGGCACCAAGGTAAAAAGCTGATCAGAAGAGTTGCAATGAAAATATCAGTAGAACTGAGAGAGAAGCCACGTCACGTCTTTGTCTTGTCTGGGATGAAACGAGATATATATATATATATATATATATATATATATATATATATATATATATATATATATATATATTGAAAAAATTAATTGATTTATTTTTAATCTTTTATTTTTATTACTTAAAACACTATTAGACGTACCATTTATATATATATTTTTTTCTTAAACCGTGGGTATTATTTCTATCGACCTATGTATTCAATAAATCTGAATAAAGGAAAACCGTACCGAAGAACACTTTTTTTTTTAAATTTAGATTTCTCGAGTACCTAGGCCGGTAGACGTAATACACACTCTTTAAGAAATAAATAAATGAAATATGCGTTATTTTCCAAATAATAATTGCCCACTAAAATAAAGTTTTTTTATATATATATATATATATATATATATATATATATATATATATATATATATGTGTGTGGATTTACATATATATATATATATATATATATATATATATATATATATATATATATATATATATATATATATATATATATATATATAATATATATATATATATATATATATATATATATATATATATATATATATATATATATTACAATGAATCATTCATAGAAAGTCATGGAAGTAATTTTGTTTTTGGTAAAATACAGGTAGCAACGTAGGTGAAAAAATTAAACGCGAATCTATATATGTTTTTTTTTAAATGCATTATTTTTAACGGATACAACTTTTGGAATGCTAGGGTTGATTTTTTTGAAAATTTAAGAGAGTGCGTTTATATACTAATATGGCTGAAGAAAGACCTTGTACAGCTTATAATTTGAAAAAACAAGGATCATCACATTCATGGAGTGATTTGTAGGTTAGTGCAACTTTAAAATTCTTTTTGCGAAGGGATTTCGCTATTTTATATCATTAACTTTACTAATCTACTTTTTGTATAAATGATTCATTCTAATATAAATTGAAGTACAACACATATTCGATATATATATATATATATATATATATATATATATATATATATATAGTGGAACCTCGGTTCACGAATTTAAATCGTTCCTGAAGACCATTCGTAATTCGAGAAAAAATCACACTACAATAAAATTGGAAAAGAAAAGCACGCCACGAGACACAAATGTATACAACATGGCGGTCGACTCAGAAATTATTCCGTTCGGATTAACTCGGTTTGTTAAATTTGTTCGAGAACCGAAATTTTGCTCGATAACTGAGGCATTTAATAAAGGGAGAGGTTATACTTGTTCCAACAAGAGAAACGTGTATATAGTAAAAAGAAGTGAGTAGCCTTAAATGATATTGGTTGTAATATAGATTATATGGGTTAGACTGTTCTAGTCCCACGTCTAATGGATGTCAGTTATCAGTTACCTCCTGTTAATTTCCCTCTCCAAGTTCTACACCGCCTTAACCAGGTACTGAACTCACATTCTTTGGGTCCTGTCACTGGATCTAACTAACGCCTTTATCCACTGTGCCATGTGTCCTTGAGGAGTATACAACGGCTAAAACGTTGCAATAAATACGGCGACAAAGATGAGGACAATAGTCCGAATGATGTAAATAATATATATATATATATATATATATATATATATATATATATATATATATATATATATGTATGTGTATGTATGTATGTGTGTGTGT